AAAATCCAACGGGATCTAAGAAAGGGGTGCCCCCAAGAGTACAAACGCTTGGTACTATTATGGGCTTCAAGTTTATTTTATTGTTCTCTTTTTCATAATTTGATCTTGAGCTCATGAATAACTATGTTTCTTAAAGTTTTTACATCTATTTATATTTTCCTAGTAAACAAAATATTTTGTAAAGAGTACGATAAGAAGAATATAGTTAAATATTGCTAGATATAACCCATATTGAGTGAATCAAGTAACTCTATTCTTTCTTCAATTTTCTTTTTTCTATTTGTGATTTGTGCGTGTGATGCTCGATGCCAACAATATTTACATTTTTTATTTTAATTCATTGTTTGATAAGTATAACTTTAATAACTTGTCATTTTGCTAATCTAGTTTAATATATATACGCAATCAGCAGCCTTGGGAATTCCAAGACAACCAACATTTGCAACTTCAGCCACAAGCATCCACAAGCTTAGGACCAGAGATATCACGACCAAAAATTCACTATTGGATTAGAAGAAAAGTTGAATGAAGAGAGAGAAAAGAAAAATTACTCTTAAATTCAATGGTAATTGAAGTGAAAATAGAGTGATAGTAGAAAAAATTGATAGTATAAATATTCTACCTCTTTATTTATTTGTATTTTTCATTTTCACTAACTTCTTCATTTGACCTCTTTGATCTTCTACCTCTCGTGACTCTTATTTTGACTTGCAACACGGAGACACTTATAGTATACTATCGGTTCAAATATCCTAGCCTAACAAGTAAAATAAGATTAATTAAGGGGCTTGTTATGTTAATAACAAATATGATTCCTCTAAGGCATTTGGTTGGCTCACGAAACTTAATTAATGCAAAAACATTTTATAGTCGCTAATGCACGGGTGGGTATTGGAGTTATTATTAGAATACTTCTAGCCTTATCTTTGATGTTTGCTTGGTTTGCTCCAATGTATAGTGGGAAATAATATTTTCTATCTCCCTCTTTTCCCTCTCCCTTCCCTCTTTCGGCTGCATGCTATTATCATTTCCTATATTATAATTGGCAAGGTTTGCCCTTTTAACATGATATTCTGATGATCGAGCACTAAGGTTTGAATAAAGATTTTAATTTTAATTATCTAAGAAAACAAGAAGTTAAAATATTAAATTTATGGGTCATTTCACTAAAATTTCTTATTTAATTTATTCATTTTTAATAGAGGATTTTATCACCAATACTTAATTTCTGGATAATCTCTCTCAAAGTTAGTCCCCCCCCCCCCCCCCTTTCGCTTTTATGTTCTTTATTTAACCTATTTCTTCCTTCCTGATACATGACTTTATCACTTACTGGTGCCGAGCATGTGCAGGGGAGGAAGCCTATGAAATTGGACTACTAGTACTCGTGTAAGAACTTAGAACCATTAAACATGCCAAAAATCAAGTGAAATATTGCACCTTAGACGACTTAAGCAAGTTTTGACTGTTAAAAGGGAGAATAAGGGTCACTTGGGCATTGCCAATACAGACAAGACAATTGCTTCCTTCCAAAATTTGCTTGTGGTCATTGAATTCTTACAGTAAAACTGCGGATTGTGCTGGACTGAAAAAATTCATGAAAAAAATAGTTGTTGAGCTGAATATGAAACGAAAAACTTGAGTTCAGTCCACTGCCCAACCAAAAGAGGAAGGGCTTTGGCCCAGAGTATAAATTTGAGTCAAGACTTCTTATTTTTTGCATCCAAAACATTCGAAGATACCTCCTTCATGGTCGTCGAGTATATTAAGTAACCAATTTCACGAGGTCTGTAACAATTAGAACTCGTAAACACAATGATCCACTAATTTTTTAAGCATGGCAATAAATTTATTACCTTGTGGTAATTAAAAGGATCACATTTTGTCTTTACTTAACCGTTAACATTAAACAAGACAGATAAATATTGTGGGGTAAATGTGTTTGTAATGTTATAAATAGGATTTACCTAGTCTGTAACATTAAACAAAAATTTAGGGGTGAAAATGGTTAGGTCGGACTTGACTTTGGTTTAAATAGAATAAACCTGTATAATATATTTTAGACTTGACCTGGTATGTTAGTTTTATGTAGATCCAAATTATAGGTCTAGTTTGACCTATATTTAAAAAATAAAAGCTTTAACCTAAGTCTGTTAACTTGTTTAAGCTTATTAGACATTCAATAATTAAAGAAGTAATTAAAATAATATTACTTTATTATTCAATATAATTAAAATAATAATTTTATTTATTTATTTTGAAAGATGATGAGTTTGAATCTTGTTGTTTTGTAGACTTGGAATCTTAGATGTTGTTGATAGCAAACTATCTTGTTTTAGTCTTTTATTGTCTACTAATATATTTTAACTCTTCATGAATTTTAAGACTTATTTTAGTTTAAAAACTTGAATTTTTCAGTGGTTTGTAATTTTTTTTTTTGGATACAATAGTTAGAATTGAATACATAACCTAATACAAACTACACAAACCCCTCAACACTAGACCAATCCTAATGGCTTCTAGTGGTTTTTAACTTTGAATGACTTAGTTAGGGATTTGTATGGCTGAAATTTTAGGCTTTTCGAAAAATCAAAATCCGATGTAATCAAAACCGAACAAAATTAGATTGCATTTTAAAAAAATTCAAACCGAATAGATGATTAAATAATCAAACTGAAGGGATTGGATCAGATATTTTTGCTTCAAAACGAATCCAATACAGACCGCGAACACCCCAACCTCTTTGTCTAAAGCTAGTGGTTTAATGGTAGTTTTGGTTTTTTTTTTAAAAAAAATTAACTTTGTTAACTTTAGTTTTGGATAAAAAATTAAGTTAGGGAGATAAGTGACAAAGAAACTTTAAATAGGAAGTAAATGATTAAAAATTTAGGGGAGGGGGTACGTGATTATGAGAAAACTTACAAGGTTTTTTTTTTTTTTAATGTTTTCCCTAATTCAAATTAATATTCTATTTGAAGTTCATTACTTCAATTGGATGAGTTTTGACACAAAACATCTGAACTTGAACATAAGCCTAATTAGAGAAATTTTTTCTGTACATCATATGTATCCAAGTGAGTATATCTTTTTACCAAAAATAGAAAGTTTTATTCTCATTTAATCTATATTTTTTTAAGTATTTTCCATCAAACTCTAAAATTTTATTGTTTTTGGACAGGCATCTTATGCACCAAAAAAGTGCTTCCAATTAGTATCTTGAGTCTAGACCGGGTCAAGTGAAAGATAGCCCATCTCATCATAAGTGCCCCAAATCCAGTTACATATATACTTGGGCGGAGCTTAGAGTGTAACGAGGGCGCCAAGATTGAAGAATAGATGCCTTCGTATACTTAAGTTAAAGAAGACCGTGTGCTCGCCGCCATTTTTTGAAGGCCTTCTTTCTTGGGAAGTTGCCTCTAATCAAATAGTGGTAGTTTGGTTGATATATTAGAAGTGAGTAGATGGTAGAAAGATTTTGATTTAATCCCTACCAATATACATTTGAGAGCGACATAAGATCTTAATGAATCGCCTCTAGGGTTGTGCAAAATGTCCAATTGATCCAAACTACTTTAAAAACTGAACCAAACCAAATAAAAAAATCGATTTTTTTATAAAACGGTTTAGAAAATATATACACTTTTTAATTTTAGATGTGGTTTGGTTATCCATTTATCAAATGGTTTGGATATACCGGATAACCAAACCATAACCATTTCTTTTTCTTTAATATTTTTTGTTTTTACGTTTTAAGCGTATTTAATATTCTGATTTCTCCACTTGTCATCTCATGATCTGTGTTGTTGTTGATGGGTGTAAATATATGCCCGGCTCAGATGTATTAGGTAACATGAAAGTGAGTTATGTGGAATGGTTTTACACACCTTGATAAATAAGCTTGTTCCTTTTTTATTGATATTGGGAATAATATTATTTTGCCTAACAGAAAAAATTTAGTGCAATAAAAATAAAAAATAAAAAATTTCTTATAATTTATGTCTTTTAGTGCTCTTTTGTGTTATTGCTAATATTTGTCACTTCTTGTGTTCCATAGAGGGACATTTTCAATCACCTATATCTTCTTCTTTTTTCTTGAACAAGCAAAACTTTGATTTGTAAGCATCGCTTTGATGTAGCAATGACAGAAAAAGAAAAACAGCTAAATTTTGATTCTTAAAAGGAGAGAAATAAAAAAAAGAAAAATGTATGGTAAAAAAACAATTTTCATGATTGATAGTATCAATATTGGGCGTTCTTATGTTTAATCTAAATAGCTTAGATATTTTTTGCAATAAATAAATAAAGGTATTTTTTATTTTATTTTTTAAAAATAGCACAACTCATGAAAAATCAGTTTTAAATTTGTCATAAAATCGGTTTTAACTTAATAATCGGTTTATGATTCAAAACCGATTTTGATTTAAAACTGGTTTTGAATTAAAATTAGTTCATAATCGATTTTTAATCAAAACTGGTTATAATCTATAAACTGATTTTGGATCCGGTTTGAAAAAATTAAAATCAGTTTTTAAAATAGAAAATCGGTTCGGTTTGAAAACCAAACCATTTAAAACTGGTTCGGTTCTGTTTTTGACAAAAACTAAACCGAACCGCTCCATGCACATCCCTAATCGCCTCAAAAATATAATTAAATTTGGTATAAAAAAACAACAAAAGCATAAAAATGACTCAAATGCAATTCATAATCAACATGCTATAAATTAGAAATATTCCTAATAAATTCAGTAATTGAATATAGATTAAAACCTGAATATTACTTAGAATAACAAAAACTATGCCTGCTGTCTTTGATTTGGTTTATCCTTTATACCTCACACATTATTTTTCTTTTGGTGTGTTTGATTTGGTTTATGCTTCTCTACGTCAACAAATAATTTATGATATACGACGTAATCACTTACGTCGACAATTGCTAAAGCCTAGAGGTAATTACAAAAAGAACATGTCCAGTGCTACTTTTGTCTCTCGGAACCCACACCATACCACAATATCCATAGTGTTTCACTACTCTGCATTCCACCTTCACTTTTTGCTTAGCTACAACTGTAGAACCATTCTCCCAGAGAGTGTGTGTGAGATAGTTCATGGGTTGGAAAGGAATACTGGGTTTTGAATATGGTGTAGTTCAGGGACCATTAGGCCCTGATATCTCTGGTCCTGAACTTGTTGCTGCAGTTGCCAATGCTGGTTGTCTTGGAATTCTCAAGGCTCCTGATTGGGTACATATATATTGGTTGTTACTTGTGATTTGTATGCATTATTTGTTAATCCTGATGATTTTTCTTCCTTCAGGAATCACCTGATTACTTGAGGGAGCTTATAAAGAAGACTAGGAACTTAACAGACAAACCGTTTGGGGTTGGTGTGGTACAAATATTTCCTCATGAGGAAAACTTGAAAGCCATTTTGGAGGAAAAAGTGGCAGTCTTGCAAATTTCCTGGGGTGATTGTTCTAGGGAATTGGTCACCCGGGCTCATTCTGCTGGAGTCAAGGTTGTTCCCCAGGTCAGTGTTTTATGCTTCTACCAATACTAGCTATATGCAAGTAAATCCTAATTAACAATTCAATATATGCTAATTCTTGTATTCTTTTTGTTTGCTATGCAAATTATTTATGCCTTACTTGTGTTTGTCTAATGTGTAGTTATTAGTTAATACTGCACTGAGACCATTTTAGTTTTTTAATTTGACAGCTAAACATTAGTCAGTTTCTTCCTTTCAGAAATTGAACCTTTTAGCCTGTTGCTACATTTTTTGGTTCTTGTTTTTTTTTTTTTTTTTTTTTTTGTACCTACCCATGTCTGGTTTAGATAAGAAGTCTAGCATGGCTGAGTTTTGAACTCATGATCCTTGTCTGTGTGGCTTTTGAAAAAGAAATTAGGTTGTTCTTAGTCCTGTGGTTGGACTTATTTGATAGATTGGAATTGCACTTTTACTGAAGCGTGTTGGTAGCATCTTGTGGGTTTCTTTTGCATACTTTGTGACTATTTTCCTTTTACTTTCTGTCGTTAGTATCTGAGCTGTTAATTGTAAATGGAGTATAGGTTGGGAGTGTTAAAAGTGCAAAACAGGCAATTGATGCGGGTGTTGATGGAATAATTGTGCAAGGAATTGAAGCTGGTGGCCATGTTCTTGGTCAGGTATGCATACTTGTCATAATTTTAAAGTGTGTGTATGTTTTTGAGTATAGGTAGCTTATTTTTATGGGTTAAATAGTTATCGTTAAAATAATGAGTCTACAGTTGAAATTTTTGTACTTATTTGGTTTTCATTCAAAAAAATCACTTAATTATGAAATGTTCTCATCCTTTGAAGGAAATTATTCCTTCTTTTTATTGTCTTTGCAAATCTGCCATTATTTTATTGATCTGTGGTACCATACTAGTACTTTTCAAATTATTTGCTTAGATATTGTTGCTTTCTTCTGGATTTAATTGCAGGAAGGTGTAATCTCATTGGTGCCAAGGGTGGTCGATCTTGTTGGCGACCGAGACATACCTGTTATTGCAGCTGGAGGAATTGTTGATGCACGAGGTTATGTTGCTGCTCTGGCACTCGGTGCTCAAGGAGTTTGTCTAGGCACTAGGTAATTTTACATTAATAATATATATGGATATCATTTTCATATCGTGGCAGGGATATCTTAGCATACATAGCACGTGGTTAAGGATAGTTGCTGTCTCTACATATAACTTCAAGCTAATAAAGCACCCGATTTGTCCAATAATAAGATGGGACAATGGTGGCCAAAGGGGAGTGAGTGGTTTTAAATTGATTCTCAATATATACCTGTGGTTGAATGCATAGCTCAACTAAATGAATCCTCTGTTCTGATTTTTTTTTGTTTTCTTAAACTTAGGGGGATGAATTTGAACGCATTAGTGTACAAATGCAAACTTTCTCTTGAAATGTATCTATTAGATTTTGAGATAGTGTTATCTTTTTTTCTTATTCTATTGATGAAGAATGATATGGACTTTTCACATATTTACCATCATGAAATTAAAATCAGAATACTATTGAGTGGCATCAGACATATGACAGTTCTTATTACTATGTCTAATGTTAGAGTGTTAGGGAGATATAATATTAAAACCATTGAAGGTCTATCACTTACGAGCTTAAGCTTTTAGGTGAGATGGTTGCTTGTTATGTTTTTTGAACATAACAAGCCAAAGGATTTTTGAGTGAGGGGGTGTGTTAGGGAGATATAATATTAAAACCATTGAAGGTCTATCACTTACTAGCTTAAGCTTTTGGGTTGAATTGGTTTGGTTGCTTTACATCTAACTTGATAATCTTGATTTAAACTGGACTTGTTTCAGCCACTTTTATACATTTTGATGTCTTTATCCAAAGAGTTTTGTCTGCAGGTTTCTGGCAACTGAGGAAAGCTATGCTCATCCAATATACAAGAGGAAGCTAATTGAATATAGTGAAACTGCATACACTGATGTATTTGGCAGGGCAAGATGGCCTGATGCACCTCATCGTGTCTTGCAGACACCCTTCTACAAAGAATGGAGATCCCTTCCTGCTCATGAAAATGAAGCCAACCAGCCTGTCATTGGCCATACAAAAATTCATGGATTGGTATGGTTTCAGTTTGTGTATAATAAATAAATACATTTCAGTAGTAGTGAAGTGTATCACACTTGTGTTTGACTTTACTTTTCCCCTCAAATAGGAGAGAGATATTCGACGTTTAGCAGGAACTGTCCCAAACATGACTACTACTGGAGATTATGAAAGCATGGTCATGTATGCTGGCCAAGGTGTTGGTCTCATCAAGGAAATTCTACCTGCTGCTGAAGTGATTAATAGGGTAGTTAAAGGGGCTCAGCTGCTTATCCAGCAAAACTTTAATTAGCTTCTAAAGAAGAGTTTGGCTTATTACTCTCAGTAGCTTACTTGGTCAAAACAATTGTGTCTGGCTAATGTTGCAAATATGGCTCAGTGGCTTATATAGAATAACAAGACTACCCAGTTTCAGATCAAGATTCAAAATAAAAATTTCAAATACCATTTTCATACTCCTCCATCTTGAGATAGCCCTATATTTGCATCTGATAAGCCCACTTCATAGACTTAGTCATTTTAAGGCTTGCGGAAGTTCCTTGGTGCTGGTACTACTGTAATACAATTCCAAGATATGATTACTGTCCACTGTTTGGGTATTTGGTAATGAAGATCCAAGCTAAGTGAATTAACAGTAAATTTTATTTACTTCCCTAAGTTTTGGGCAATAAACTGGGACTCTATGAAACACCGACACTTCAAAAATCTTGATGTATCGTGTCCGACATTTCCCTATACTCTCTGATACTTCAACACTCCCCGACACTCCAACATGCGTTGTAGAGACTCAAAAAAAGGTTCAAAGGATGTGTTGTGTTGTGTTGCGTTTTTAGTTCCAATTATTAAATTCGTTGGATTACAATTATCATTTTATTGAGTTTAATATAAATATTTGGGATATCTTATGTTTCTTTGCAAAATTGATGGCTATTATAAGTTTAGTTTCATTTTTTTGTTAAATTATTGAATATTAAATATAATATACACTACATAAATTAAAAATATTATTTAATATGTCGAAATCTAACATTTTTAAAATTAATGTGTCAGAGTGTCGAGTCGTGTCCTGTGTCAGTATCGGTGGTACCTAATTGGGGCTTCAAGCTTTCATCTTCTCCTTGCTTTTGGGCTTCAAATAAAAAATTCAGTGTTAGTCCGCTTAAAATAAATAAACTTAAATTCAGATTTATTTTATGGAAATAGATCACATAAGAACCTTACATGGCTCCCATATAAAAGATTTGAGAAACTATAATAATAGAATTTAGATTGCATATTAACCTAAAGTATTAAGATTTATTCTAAGTAATTTTATTTAGACAACTTTGTCTAATGTTTACCAAAATGATATTGTTTTGGGACGGAAATCATGATGTATTTGTGATTTTAATTTATTTTAGGGTTATAATAGTCTTTATCCTTCTAATTTTTTAATTTTTTAATCCCAAAACAACATTGTTTCAGTGAACATTAGACAAAATTGTCTAAACTAATATCAAATACTTTTTTCCCTTCCATCTATATAACTTTCACTTTTTCATTATTCACACTTTAATCCCTAACCATAATCTATCTCGGAATTATTTTTTTTGGGAAGAATATTCAGAACTCACTAATTAGATAATAATAAATCATTAAAAACCTAATATATAGGGCTGCATATAGCTACAATAACAATTGTCACGAAAAAGAATTAGCTACAATTACAAACAAGATCTTGGCTATTAACCAAAATTGAACCTAATACATCCATTGTAACCCCACCTCTTACTCTACCAGTTCATGCCCAAGTGACTTATTGACCTCTTTCAATAGCAAAACCAAACTGTTGTAGTTATTGTAAGAAGATCCACCAAGTGATGTGGCTGCCTCAGCCTTCTGCTTCCACTCCCCAGCCTTATTCCTCATTTTTTCCCCTTTCTCTCCTCCCATAAGTTCCCTCACAAGCCCCTCAACCTGCTCTCTATCAACATCACTCTCAATTTCCATTCCAATCCCCCATTTTTTGTAGGCATAAAAGCAATTGGTTTGTTGCTCAGCAAAGAAAGGCCAACACGCCATTGGCACTCCCTCACAAATACTTTCCAATACGGAGTTCCACCCACAATGGGTCAAAAAGCCTCCAACCGAGGGATGACCTAGAACTTTCTCTTGTGGGCACCACTCCAATATCAAGCCCCTCTGATCAATTTCATTCACAAATTCATCATTTGATATGATCTCAGCTCCATTATCCACAAGATTAGGCCTAATGACCCACAAGAAATGGTACTTACTATTAGCCAATCCCCAAGCAAACTCTCTCAATTGCTTTGAAGTCATAATCACTAAGCTCCCAAAATTCACATAAACTACAGATCCTTGGTCTCTTTTATCCAACCATCTCAAGCACTCAACATCTTCCTTCCACAAATTCAAATCAATGGACTCCAATTGATTGTTTGAATTTGAAAACTGTTTATAGAGCATTGCTAATGGACCAATGGGGTAAAGGTTAGGGTATTTAGTTCTAATTGCTTCCAAAACCTCTGCTTCTAAATCTTCAAAGGTGTTAAGGATGACCCCTTTGGCTTTCATAGCATTGTTCACTGACTCTTTGTTGTAATTGAACATTATATCAGAAGAATTAGTAGTCCTAAAGAAGGTGGGAAGGTCTTTCAGTCTAGCCCCTCTCATTGCTGGAATCCAATCAACTTCAGTTTCAAGATATCCATCAGACAGATTCTTCTCATCTAAAGATAAACAAATTGAATTAATAATAAAATAAGCTTAATTACCACATAAGTACACAGAGAAATACAGTATATTTTAAAATTAAAAGAGTCAAATGTTTTTAGAAAGATACTACCTTTGAGTGGAAAAAAGCCTCTTGTCACAAGCTCTTCAAAGTTAAGATACCCCAGCATGCCGCAGCCACTAGGGGTGAATAGCATGAACTCAGGGATGTTGAATTCTTGGGCAACTTTCAACGTAAAGCCCATGACACCATCAGAAACTATGCAAGTAAGAGGAGGCAGATCTGCTGAAGAAACAAGCTTTGCTATGAGGTCTCTGAATGAACGCAACCCATTAACAGGCATTGTTATGCACAGGTCTGGAAGGTCTAGTATTCCTCGTTGGTTTGTTGGAGGCAATCCATCAGATATGGTCTCAAACTTGAAATCTGGAAGACCCTTGAGAGAATCTGGGCCATTAGATTTCACCAAGCGATCAAAGTTGAATTGTGTGTGAACAAAAGTGATGTAGAAGCCACTGAGATGGAGGAGTTTTGCTAGTTTTAGCATTGGATTTATGTGGCCTTGTGCTGGAAGAGGAACACAGACAACATGGGGCCTTATCTCATCCATTTGACTGTTCGAGGCTTCAACAGGGACTTGCAAGATCATAGTTAATGTTATTTGTCGATTTGATTTTTTGTGAGTAATGATATATATATATATATATATATATATATATATAAGAAAAAATAAAAATTCAGTGACTGGACCGTACAGTGCATTAAGTTCTCACTAAATATTATAATGGTGTTCTCCAGGTGTTTTTCCGGGAGAACATAGTTATAATATTTACTATAACTGTTAACATAGTTATAATATTTACTATAATTGTGTTCTCGCGGGAGAACTTAGTGCACTTAACCGAATTTTGTATTCGTCACTGTACACTCACTAAACCCATATATATATATATATATATATATATATATAGGGGCAAGATATTCTTACATCGGTGTAAGAGTTAGAAGTCTTACACCCAATCTTGAGCATTGATCCACTTGTATCTAATGACTCACATTACTAAAAAATTAGAGCCCTTAGATATAAGTGAGATCCATGGTCAAAATTGAAAGTGTAACTTACACCGGTGTAAAATGATTCTGACCCATATAAATATAAATAAATATATATATATATATATATATATATATATATATATATATATATATATATATATATATAGATAGGATCCTTTGGCACTGGTGTCAAATTTGAAATTTGGCACCGGTGTCAAATTTGAAATTTGACACCTCATCTGAGAGCCGTTAGATCAAAAAAGATTAATGGTGTCACATGTTTACAAATCAGAGCCATTGATCTTTTTTGATCTAACAGCTCTCAGATGAGGTGTCAAATTTCAAATTTGATACTGGTGTCAAAGGATCCTACACCGGTGTCAAATTTGAAGTTTGACATCTCATCTGAGAGCCGTTAGATCAAAAAAGATCAATGGTGTCATATACTTACAAATCAGAGTCGTTGATCTTTTTTGATCTAATGGCTCTCAGATGAAGTTAACACCAGTGTCAAATTTAAAATTTGACACCTCATCTTAGAGTCATTAGATCAAAAAAGATCAATGGTGTCACATGCTTACAAATTATAGCCATTGATCTTTTTTTATCTAATGGCTCTCAGATGAGGTATCAAATTTCAAATTTGATACTGATATCAAAGGATCCTACCTCTATATATATTTTTTTAACTTCATATCATCTTATTTTTTTAACTTCATATCATCTTATTTTTTTCATTAATGTTGCTATATGTTTCTAACTTGAGTATGAGGCGAGCAAAAAGCATTATTCCAAAGAGGTTCCATTGGATTATGACATTGAAGAAAAAGACAAATTAACAAATACAAATAGATGCGTGCAAAAACTAGTTTGCAAACACATCAATCATTTTTCTTTTTTTGGATAAGATAAGGAAAACAAATCAATCATTTTATGTTGGGTTTATCATCTATCATTTAACATGACCACAAAAATTTTCCTACACACACAACATTTTGTGGGGCCCGCAGCAAAAAATAAAATAAAATTTCGGTACGCAAAACAAATCTCTATAACATAACACAATCACTTTTCCTACAACATAACTCTCATAAAACCCTTAATAGAAAAAGTGTTTGTCATTTTAAATGATATAAAGTTATGTGATTTTAAAAGAGAGATAAATACAAAATAATTTTTTTATTTAAAATTTAAATTAAAAAAAAAACCACTCACTTTCTCCCCCGTAATTTTCATTTCTTATGTTTATCTCTATCCTAAAATGACATATAAGAATTTAAAATGAGAAACATCAAATTCAATATTTATTTGAAAATATATTGAAAAAACCTTTTTATTGAAGAAAATTATTCTTTAAAAACAAAAATGGATTTCGGAGATTAGAGTTGGGAAAATGTTAACACTCTATACTGTCCATAAAAGAGTTACCTAAAAATCATATCTTATGTCATTCAGGCGCCTCTGGGTTGCCTCATTGGTTTAGCATTTTCTTTAAGCAAAATGCGGTGCATGCACATGGAATGGTTGATTCCCACAATATCGGCTAAAGTCCATCCAATTGCCTTTTTATTTTCTTTCAGCAAAGTCAGAAGCTTTTCCTCCTGCTCGGGTAGAAGGTTCTTGGCCACTATCACAGGTAACTGCTTATTTTCCTCCAGATATGCATACTTCAAATGGTCAGGAAGAACCTTCAGTTCCAACTTAGGTGGCTGCTCAGTGGATAGAAGAAGTCTAGTGGGTGCAGGTTCTGCAGAAAATACATTAATAGCTATGCCTGCAATCAAATCCTCAGAAAAAGAATCATGGTCATCAATAATTTCAACAGGAAATTCAGAATTCAACATCAGTGCAGAACCATTGTGTAAAACAGAATCAAATTCAGGCTCATCATCATGATCAGAATTATAAATAGAACCCAAATCATCATTCAATGCACCATTAAAATCAGAGCAACACAAGGCTATCTCAGCACAAGCTGTACAGTTACTACTATAAGTACATCCACATGAAAAATCAGAATCAAAGAAGGATGAAAATTCTGGATATTCAGCAATCAAATCAACAGAGATATCATCAACACTTCATCTATTACATCAATGCAGAAAACAAAATGTTCCTCCCTAGGAAATTTCATGGCATCAAAAATATTAAAATTGATAATACTATCACCAAATTCCATGGAAAGAGTACCAGCATGCACATCTATCTTAGTCCTGGCAGTTTGGGTCTACCAAGTATAATTGTACTACTAGGAGTCTCACCCTCCATCCCTAAGACATAGAAATCAGTAGGAAAAATCAGATTTCACCCTAACTAATATATCTTCAACTACACCAGAAGGGTGAACACTACTCATGTTGGCTAACTGAACCACAATACTAGTAGCACGCAAGGGACCAAGACCGAGAGACTAATACACAGATTCAGGCATAACATTAATGGATGCTCCTAAGTCTAACATACAATAATGAAAAAGAGAATTTCCAATAATGCAAGGAATAGCAAACGTCCCTGGATCTTGGCACTTCTTGGGCATGGGCTGGATGAGTGTTGACACATTCTGACTGACGCTAACTCGCTCATCTCCTTTCAGCCTCCTTTTGTTGGTGCAGAACTCCTTCAGAAACTTGGCATATCTTGGAATTTGTTGAATCGCATCCAAGAGTGGAATGTTTACCTCTACTTTTCTGAAGGTGTCAAGAATCATTTTATCTTGAGCTTTGGCCGCTTGCTTCTTAGACTGAGTGGCTCTTTGAGGGAAAGGCAATGGAATGTGGATATCAGAAGTATCAGTGTTCTGCTTCCTTGAACTACCGTCACCACCTTGAGATGACTCAACAGCAGATTGGTTTGGCTCTGCTAGTTGCTTGCTTGACCGCAGAGAAATAGCGCTAACATTACCGCCTCCCTTTGGATTTGGAATTGTTTGTGATGGTACGGAGCTGCTAGAAGGTTGGGCCTGGTTCATTGATGTCGCCAATTGCCCAATCTGTGTCTGCAAATTTTGGATTGTGGATTATGTCCTTTGTTGGAACTCCAGATTGCTGGTGGCCATATGTTTCACTAAGTCCTCCAAGGAAGGACCACTACCATTATTTTGTTGTTGCACTAGTGGTAGTTGTTGCATCTGTTGGGGAGCAGCTTGCTAGAAGTTTTGTCTCTGTTGTGGAATGAATTGATATTTCTGCTGATATGGAACATTGTGCTGATTCTGTTGATATGAAACATTTTGCTGATTCTGGTTCCATCTGAGGTTGAGATGATTCTTCCAGCCATGATTGTATGTGTTGGAGAATGGATTATTCTGCTGCTGGAACTGTGGTTTCCCAAAAAAGACTGCAGATACTGACGGGTCTGCAGGAATGGTGCCCTCTTGCAGAGAAGGACAACCATCAGTGGGGTGAGAAGGGTCACCGCATATGCCACATGGATTACCGAATTGTGGAGCAGAAGTTTGGACTGTCTGGGTAACTGCCAACTGTCTCACCATGGTTGCTAATTCATTAAGTTTATTTTCAATTCTCTGATTGTCAGTACTTGATGCAACTGCTGTCGGCTGGGTCGAAGTCGCTTGCACCTGGTACACAACATTGCTATTGGCTCTCGTTCCAAACTGTTGAGCATTTGCAGCCATATTTGAGATCAACGCCTTAGCTATATCAGGTGTTTTGTCAACAAGAACTCCTCCACTGGCAGCATTAATCAGGTTCCTATCCACGTGCAGCAATCCTTCATAGAAGTAAACAATAAGCAGCTATTCAGGAATTTGATGATATGGATAGCTTGCACATAGCCTCTTGAACCGCTCCCAGTATTCATATAAAATTTCTCCATTTTTCTGCCTTATTCCATTGATTTCCTTTCTGATTACAGTGGCCCTTGATGAAGGAAAATACTTCTCAAGGAATAATCTAGACATGTTAACCCAGCTTGCAATGGATGAGGGTGGCAGGTAGTACAGCCAATCCTTGGCTCCACTATCCAAGGAAAATGGAAAAGCCCGCAGCTTGATTTGCTCTACATCAACTCCTTGTGGCCTCATGGTATTGCATACCACTTGGAACTCCTTGAGATGCTTATGGGTGTTCTCACCTGCAAAACCATGAAATTTGGGCAGCAAATGAATCAGTTCAGATTTGAGCTCAAAAGGTACATCAAGGTCAGGATAACGAATACATAAGGGCTGTTCATTGTTAATATCAGGGGCAACCAATTGCTTAAGTGTTCTATTATCCATAACTTTAGAATCAAATAAATTACCAACTGAATATACACTATGTGAAGGACTCGAACAAATAGACTTAGACACAACAGACTCAGACTCCAAGGTATGCTCAGGGACATCGCTACTGTAAGTCAACCTACGAACTCTACTAGCAGCATGTAATGATCTCTCTATCTGAGGGTCATATGGATATAAATCATCAACACTGGTAGTACTCCTAGTCGTGCATCACAGGCACAAGCATACAATAGTAAAATTACAAAACATACGATAGGACACAAAAACTATTGAAAATAGAAAACAGAAGCAAAAATAAATCTACGAAAAATATCAAACGACCTCATAACGCTATGGGAACAACTCTCCTAAAGTCTAATCGATCCTACGGACTCAAAAATCAAATAAATTTTTTTCAAAAAAAAAAAAATAAAATAGTAAAAGAAGGAATTTGGCTAAAATTGGGCTTTCATCATGAAGGGCTAAGCCCTCATGACTTTTGACTGGGATGATCGCCTCCTTCACGTCACCAATTTTCAGATCGGTCAGAGCAAGTTGAATAACTGCAGAAATATCCGATACGTCCTGAAACGACGAAGAAACACTAAAACGGGTTAGTAAATGATACAATTTTGGCAAAAATAAGGGTGACTTCATGCCCTCCTAGGGCGTAACTTATGCTCAGAAGGTCAAATTTCTTTGGGAATAGAACTCCTGAAACCAATCACTTGAACCAATCGCCCAAAATTGTCCAAAAACGCACACCGTGATGCAGAGAAATCAATAACTGAGACAAGATGTTGTACCAGATGCAGATTTCGATGCAGAATCAGAGGTGCAAATCAGAATGCAATAATGGATGCAGATCGGAATGTAGAAAATATGCAGAAGGCGAATGCAAAAATAGAGGTGCAGAAACGCACACGAATGTAAAAACAGAAACAGGACAGCAAGATGAAACACAATGCAGACAGATGAGAAAGATATAGAAAAACAAAACAGATGCAAACAAACAATATGCAGACAGAAATTCTAAACACAAAAATGAAACAGAAAAATGAAAACAGAAATAGCGAACAGATGAATCAATTTTTTTTAAAACAGAAACAGAAAAACAAAAATTAAAAGAAACAGAAAAAGAAGAAACAAAACAAGAAAACAGAAAAAATTAGAGAAAGAACGCTATTGACGTGCAGAGTCCCCCGATAACGGCGCCAAATTTGACGTGCGTTGTCAAAACCACGCAAATTACTAAGCTTAGCTTTGTAGTGATAGGGCAACTCAGATCCTCTCCCAAAGAACCTGCTAGAAATCAAAAATGTTCTGTAAAATAAAATATAAAAAGGGAAAGGGGGATTTTGTTGATTTGAAATTTAAATAAAAACAGATTTAAAATTTGGATCTAAAATCAGAATTAAAAATCAATCAACCTAAAGAATCAAGATTCATTAATTTATTTCGTCATTGGATAAAAATATAATTATCAATTTGTGATTAACTCCAATTAAATTCGGAATCCTCAAATTCAATTGGAAACCCTCTCTAGACTATTGCCTAGCGTTTGGTTGAATACAGTATCTCAACTATGCGATCGCAGTAGTTTTGATCTGTTCAACTTATGTTCATCGGGTAAATTAATCTGACAATTAAATCTAATGATCAATTTTCCCATATAGAATGCAATCGCATTATTCAGTTTGAATATCTACAATCGCATGATATTCAACCTGAATTGGGAAAAAAACTGATTTAAAAAGTTAAAAACATATTCTCTGAAATAAACTAACGAACATTTAACCTTATATTGATTAAAGGTGTTTAGCCTAGCATCGCAAAGGTAAACATCATTCAGAATAAAATAAAATAGAAGAAGAAGAAGAAGAAGATGAAACGAAATAGTGTAGAATTTCGATAGAAGAAACTAAAAGCAATTGTTCAATTCCAAAATCTGACTGCCACAGGGTTTCCTAAAGTTTCCCTTAAATAAACCACATTTAGAACGGGTTAGGGTTCCAACTCTTTAGCCCATACATAAAATAAAAACTTAATAAAATAAAATAAAATATTATAACATGGCCTTGGGTCCTAAACACATTGGGTTCTAATCTAATTACAAGTCCAAACGTCAAAATAAAATTCCAACTAAAACACGTCATCTTGGTCTCAGGTTTCAACCATTTTTCTGTCCGAATTGGGCTTCAGTGGCTGAAATAACGATTGTAGCCCTTTCTGTTAGCTGCAAAACGCAACAAGAACGGATTCAATCGAAAATCTGTAGAGTGAGATATGGATGAAATATGAAAATAGTGTAAATCTGAAAAATTCTGACGAAAATTAATTAAATCCAATCAAAATCTAGAATTTTGATTTTATCCAAAAAACCTTTATTTAACTCAAATAAATCCTAAATAAGTGTGACAAAATATGTGTTATCAACACCCCATACGTCAAGTTTGTCTGTACTATATTCACCTCACCCTCACTCGTTACAAGTCACTCGATTTACAAGAAAAATATAACTAGGATTAGAAAACCCTAACAACAGCTATTCATGGGCCCAAGCCCAAACTACTAAGAAAATTATAATAAATAGAGGCCCACACCAGTACCTAGCCTCTACCGGCCGGGGCCCCCCCACCAGTTGCATATCTACTGACCTCGACAGCAAGAGTTCTCATCACCATACGAAGTATGAGCCATACTCAATATTTCTCTCTCTTATCTCATTATCAAAAAGTGGTTGTAATCAAATAATATGACTACATAATCACTTTTTCATATGAGAAGATTCAAATCTGTAAGTCAAAGTCAACCAGTGGGCATCTAAAGTCACAATCTTAAAAAAAATTATCTCTTTTATCGGATCCAATGTGTTCAAAATTAATAAATAAACATTTAATAGTTATTAAATTTTTTACATAAAATATTGTTTTTTTCATAATTTAATTTTTTTAATGAAATAATATTTATACACAAATATACAACTGAAATGTAAGCAAAATTTGAATTATTTTTCCGATAATCATTAAACAGGTGGTTCTACATCAACACCTCGATTCTGGAGCAGTGACCATTTTGTCACACTTGGCAAAAAAATTTATCAAACTGCCACGCCAATAGTAAATTTTGTCAAAATGCCATGCGCCATATTTCGCTACACTGTGTAGCGAAATATGTTTGCAAGTAATTCGCTACACAGTATAGCGAAATATGTCATGTCAGGCTGCACAGTCAGCAAAAATGACACGTGTCAGGCAGGCAGAAATTTGCTACACTGTGTAGCGAATTATGCTTGAATTCTGCCTGCTTGACACATGTCATTTTTTGCTGACTGTGCATCCTGACATGGCATATTTCGCTACACAGCGTAGCGAATTATGCCATGTGGCATTTTGGCAAAATTTACTATTGGCGTGACAGTTCGATAAATTTTTTTGACAAGCCTGATAAAATAGTCACTCTTCCCTCGATTCTTGTTATATCTTGTTATAACGATATTATTATTCGGTGATAGTTACATGAAAATTTTTTATTAGTCAATACTTTTAGTATAAGTGACTTTTTTTTTGTTTTTCAATAAAAATTAGTTAGATAAGGTTTTGTATAACACTCAACTTTTCTGTTGCAACAAATCAAGTAATACTGAAATTTAGGAATAATTTTTCATCATTTAAATTTTTTAATGGAATTTTTATACCTTTAGTATTTTTTAAATATGTTTTCATCAGCCCTTGTAGTTTAAAATTTACTGCTGAATGTTTATGGTTATAAAAGTTATTTTATATTGCTATTATAGGTTTCAATTATGAAACACCGACACTTCAAAAATCCTGACGTGTCGTGTCCGACACTTCCCGACACTCCAACACACGTTATAGAAATTCAAAAAAAGGTTCAAAGATTGTGTTACGTTGAGTTTTTAGTTCCAACTATTAGATTTGTTGGATTGCGATTACCATTTTATTGAGTTTAATATAAATATTAGAGATATCTTATGTTTCTTTGCAAATTTGATGAATATTATAAGTTTAGTTTCATTTTTTTGTTAAATTATTGAATATTAAATATAATATACACTAGATTATCAAAAAAACATATAATATACACTACATAATTTAAAAATATTATTTAATATCAATAGTCGAAATCTAACATTTTTAAAAATTAATGTGTCGGAGTGTCACGTGTCTCGTGTCGGTATCGGTGCTACATAGGGTTTCAATAACTCAGTTATAATTTTATAATTAGTAAAGATCTAATTGAAAATTTAGTTAAATTATAAAAAAAATTTAGAAACATAAAAATCCAATTATTATTTTTTGAATTATGTTAAGCTCTTTGAAATTTAATAAAATTATAAAAATTTACAAAGTAAATTTACCTAGTTATAAAATTTTAAGACAAACGTCGAGAATTTGTTATGTATCATTTGTATAGGTATTATATAATTAGGAAAATATCTTCAGCATTTCTACAAAGGCTCAATAAATTATTCATTTAAGTTGAAAAAAAAAAATATTTAATTATTTTATTTTATTCACTCTTTTATGATTAATATAGTTCTGAATCTCACTTTTTTATATTTTTGATAAAAGATTACGTACTCGTGAATTGAGCTGGCAAAATGGGCTTGGCTCAGCGCGCAGATCCACCTTACCCGTCAAATGAGACGGGATGAGTTGACTCATTTTTTGACGGATTGATAGTCGGAAAGGGCGGAATGGATCAATATAAAACTATTTTATATTGCTATTATAGGTTTCAATAACTTAGTTATAATTCTATAATTAGTAAAGATCTAATGGAAAATTTATTTAAATTATAAAAAAAATTTAGAAACATAAAAATCCAATTATTATTTTTTGAATTATATTAAGCTCTTTAAAATTGAATAAAATTATAAAAATTTACAAAGTAAACTTACCTAGTTATAAAATTTTAAGACAAACGTCGAGAATTTGTTATGTATCATTTGTATAGGTATTATATAATTAGGAAAATATCTTCAGCATTTCTGCAAAGGCTCAATAAATCATTCATTTAAGTTGAAATAAAATAATATATTTAATTATTTTATTTTATTCACTCTTTTTTTTTGGTAAGCTATTTTACTCACTCTTTTATAATTAATATAGTATGAATCTCAGGCAAAAAAATTTATTTATTGTAATTTAATTAAATAATTACGCATTTATTGCAGTTTGGAGAGTATTTACAGATCTATTGCACAATGTGACGCCTTTTTTGGGCGTCACATGTGACGCCTCATTTAGGCGTCTCTCTCCAAGGGAAGACGCCCCAATGGAGCGTCTCTCATGAGGTGTTGACACGTGTCATCTCTATCTCCAAAAAAAATAATAATTTAATCATAAAATTTCTGAAGGCCATAACTTTTGACTTGGGTATCCAATTCAGGTAATTCTTTTTTTGATTTCACATAACTTTTCGAGATCTACGTAATGACATCTCATTTGATATATTTTATTTCTCACAAACATAATTTAAATTTGCAAGAATGGTACTTACGAGCGTTTAAACCTAAAAGTCTCTTAGTTCTTTCCGAATCAACACCAAACACACCAAAACCAAGTGTTTGAAAAAAATAGTGTACAATGTTATTGAACCGAAATTCGTATTGTGTATCGTTTGATTGATTTTTCGTATCTTGAATCATACGGTATCATAAGTTACATCCTTCTGTTTTATGACTTTTTTCTTTAAAGCCATTTAAATTATAGCTTCTGAATGGTTTTCAAAAATAAAATTCTTCTTACTTAGAGATTTATAATATTTATTTAATTACTTTTTTATTATACAGATTTTTCAAATTATTTTTTGAGTTTAAGTCACAAATCAAATCTTTATTTTGTTTTCCTTATTAATGATAATTTTTTAAATTTTTTTAAATTTAAATCACAAACCAAAACTTGTGAATTTAAATTATGTTTGTGAGAAATAAAATATATCAAATGAGATGTCATTGCGTAGATCTCGAAAAGTTATGTGGAATCAAAAAAAGAATTTCCTGACTTGAATACCCGAGTCAAAAGTTATGGCCTTCAGAAGTTTTATGATTAAATTATTATTATTTTTGGAGAGAGAAATGACACGTGTCAATACCTCATGAAAGACGCTCCATTGGGGCGTATTCCCTTGGTGAGAGACGCCTAAATGAGGCGTCACATGTGATGCCCGAAAAAGGCGTCACATTGTGCAATAGATCCGTAATTATTTTCAAAACTGTAATAAATATGTAATTATTTAATTAAATTACAATAAATAAATTTTTTTGCCATGAATCTCACTTTTTTATATTTTTGATAAAAGATTACATGCTCGTGATTAGAGCTTGCAAAATGGGCTTGGCTCAGCGGACAGATCCACCTCACCCGTCAAATGGGACGGAATGAGTTGACTCATTTTTTGACGAATTGATGGTCGAAAAGGGCAGGATGGATCGATATAAAACATGTTTGGATTAGCAAGCTAACCCGTCCCGCCGGGATAAGATCGACCAAGTTTTTTAGTCCATTTTGAAAAACAAGACGGACGAAACGGGCCGATTCATTTATTAAAGAATTGATTGCGTGACCTGCTCAGATATTAGGATATGTTTTTTAAATTACTTTTTGAGTATGCTGGTAATGTGCACATGAAGTTTCGGGAAGCATAATTCTTGTCTGGTATTTTTTTCCCTCCTGTTAAGACCATTGTTTGAGAACATAAAGTGAGGTTCAATCCAAAGTTTAAAAACATTAATTTTTTTATTCATATATAATTTTTGGGTTCATTACTGTTACTGTAAAAAAAATCATCTTCTACAACTGATTTTCACTCTGTACTCCTAGAAATACATAATAAAAGTATAAAAATCGTTTTTCTTTTCTTTCTCTTCACGTGAGCTGACAATTTCTGAGGAGAAAGAAATTTTTTACAGCTTTAATATTTTCACTATCTATTAATGTTGCAGAAGATGATTTTTTTTGCAGTGACAGATACAGATTTCCCATAATTATTTTTACGTTACATATATGCAAAACTTCCTCGTGCAAACTACCACATTTTCCCAATCTATACAGGAAATAGATCGGATGGTTGCTAAATTAATAAAAGTAGTATATTTTTTTGCGGTATTTCAAATGTAATTTGTCTAATATATATGCTAGTAATTACTAATTGCTAATTAATTCTTTTTAAATTATAGAGTGTCTTATAATTTTTTTTTTTGGAGAACAGAGTGTCTTATAATTTAGTCATGCTTTATGCGTAACACAAAGTGAAAATTAGCATCTTAAATATTCTTGACATTATTCTTTTCTTATAATATAATCATTAAATTTATTTATGAATTTAATATTTCTCATAATCTCTTACACACACATTCTCTTTTTTTTATCTCTCTCTTCTATTCAAATAGCCCAACATACTTTTATGTATAGGTAAGAGATAATTTTATTTCCTATAACACATGAAAAGCGCTAAATCCTTTATTTATATGTATAAATTAAGGGTTTTATAAGAGTTATGTTGTAGGGAAAGTGATTGTGTAATGTTATAGAGAATCGTTTTGCATGCTTTAATTTTTTTTATTTTTGCTTTAAAAAGTGCAGGCCCCACAAAATGTTGGTTGTGTAAGAAATTTTTGTGTGTCATGTGACATGATAGATGCAAATCCCATAAATTAATCTTTAAATTTCTTTACCTCGCATCACCTTAATCACTTTTGTTTCTCATTTAAATCCATAGAAAAAGACTAACTCGTAAGCATAATAATTTCATGAACTAAATTACTTATTTATCCATGATAACCCAGTATCATCTCATCATACACTAATGAAGAAATAAAATCTTAATCTTTTGCACACCAGAATCTTGTGGTGGGTGAAAATAAAACGTGAGTTGATAAATAATAAAATACTTTAGTAGGACAGATTTTAATATTTGTAATTGGTAATCCAAAAGATTTCGTTTTCTCTGACGTATATAACTGCACTTTACACTCAAAAGACGACTTTGTTGAGCTTTCAATATTCTTGAATCCAATTAATCAAGCCAGATTGTTTTAGATCTTTTTTTTTTTATAAAAAAAGGAAAATTATACCCATTTTGACTTTGAGGAGCTAAAGAAAATAAAGTTAAGAGCATCTGGTTCTTGCCTCTTTAATTGTGAGAACAACTAAGTAAAGCATATATTTGCTTGGAGGAAAATGAGATACACTAGTATTGACAACATTTTCTGATTTTCCACTCATTGGGCCCCTCACTTTATCAATTAAGTAATGAAAATTGGAAAAGTTTGCTTAATGGTAAGGTTAGTGCATGTACAAAGGCGAAAGCTGTGAGCCTAGTCTGAATTGCATATGCTGTTTATTTCATAATGTCCATGTGCCTAGGAGTTCGCATTATATATCTTGATGCAGATTGCATGCTTGGCCTAAAGGGAAAACTACACTGCAAACAATGGAAGCTACATCTAAATACAGAAGATACAGAAAGGGTGTTTCCTCTCCCACAAACACTGCCATGCATGATGGTTGCTATTCTTGCACAAACATTTGTAGTTCTCAGCCTAATGGGGAAGCTAAAGTTACCTGCAGAGGTTGCAAAGCAGAGTTTCCAGTGCCTTCAAGGACAACCTCATACTGTTGCCCTGTATGCCATAATGTTTGTTATTCAACTTTGCAACATGGGAAATCTAGGGAAGAAGGTCAAATATGCTGTCCAGTGAAGAAAATTGGAACCAAGTTGTTCAAACTTGGTCATCTGAATAGTGCCAACAAAAATGGAAATTTGCTTAGTAGTTCATCTCCTTTAGTGGCCTTTTCCTCATCCTTGTCTTGCAGATATAACAAGCGTGCGGTTCTCTGTGGAGTTTCTTACAACAAAAGGAAATTGAGGCTCAAGGGAACTATTAATGACATTAAGAACATGAGGGAGCTGCTGATTAAGAATTTTAAGTTTCCGAATGAGTGCATACGAGTCCTCACAGGTATCTCTAGAAACTTTTATCTAACTACAATAATTGGGTATTTTTTAAATTTATTATCTGTTTCGGTTCTAACTACTAGGATGGATAAGATAAGAAATGAAGATATTCGACGAAAGGTCGGAGTAGTACCGGTAGCCGAGAAGATGAGAGAACATAGATTGAGGTGGTTTGGGCACGTGATGAGAAGACCCATGGATGCTCCTGTAAGAACAGAAGTTTGTTACCAAGAGCTAAACACAAAAAGAGACAGAGGTAGGCCGAAACTTACTTGGGGGAAAGTAGTAAAACAACATTTAATGGAGTGGGATATAGATTGGCGGACAGTATGTCTTAGAAAGGAATGGAGAAAAGCTATAAGTATGGTGGAGGGTTAGACTCGCTGTTATTCCTATGTTCCAGATGGTCCTTTTTTAGTCCTTTTCCCCTTCATTTCCACCACTTCTTCTTGTCCCTTTCTTTTTTACTTTTATTTATTTATATATACATATATTTTTATTTCATTTTATTTTATTTTATTATTTTATTTGTGTATTTTTATTTATTTATTTATTTTTTATTTTTTATTTTATTTTTTACTTTTTTTTAACCGTTTTGTATCTTTCATGTGAGTTCATCTACCACCGACCCCAATTAATTTGGGATAAAGGTGTTGTTGATGTTGATGTTGATCTGTTTCGGTTCATTTGGATTTCACCTATTCCTTATCTTCCCAGTTTGTTTGAATGCTTAACGAAAAATTTGAGGCTCTTAAATACAGTAATTTGGTACCCCACAAGGAATATAATATTTCTTAGACTATACTATTGAAATTTAATGGAAGTATAGTTAACAATTTCTTTGAAAGCTTTTGTTAATATGAATGCAATTGTTATTAAGGTACCACACTAATTTGTTGCTTGACAAGTTTCACATATCTTCTTTCAATAACATGTTCAACTTCTCCAACGTGCTACAAAATAATCCCATTCCAAAACTAAAATGAAAATTGCAGAACAAGAGCAGAATGCCAATTTAATACCAACAAAACACAACATATTGGAGTCCTTAAGGTGGCTGGTGAAGGACTGTCAGGAAGGAGACTCATTGGTGTTTTACTTCTCAGGACACGGTTCGCAACAACCAGATTTCAAAGAAGATGAAATTGATGGGTTTGATGAAACTCTTTGTCCTGTTGATTTTATGAATGAAGGAATGATTGTTGACAACGACATAAACTCTACCATTGTTTGGCCACTCAAGAATGGTGTAACACTTCATGCTATTATTGATACTTGTCATAGTGGAACAATTCTTGATCTATTGTATGTTTATAATCATGAAATGTAAGTGGACTTTTATAGTTTTCCCCTATTTGATGTTCTGTTTTCATTCCCACCTTAACAATTTGTCTATTCGAATGCTTGCAGTGGCATTTGGGAGGATAACAAACCCCCTTCTAAAGAACCTATCAGAAAACATACAAGTGGTGGAGTGGCCATTTGTCTCAGTGCTTGTGAAGATAGTCAAACAGCTGCTGATAGCACAGTAAGATTCTTCGATGTTTTCATATTTGAGAATGCAATAAAGTTCAATGTATAAACTTGTTCATCTCATTGGTACTTTTGACCAACCTACGTAGGTTTTTGGTGGAAAGGGAATGAATGGTGTTCTGACTTATCTATTCACAAAAACAATTAGAGAATACCCTGAAATAACATACGGGCGTCTACTAGAAAAGATGCATGAGGAAATTCAAAAGATTAAGCGAAGCAGATGCCATAACCGAATCTTGCAACGTATCTTCCATCGTAGAATTGCACAGGTTGGTTTCCATCATCTTTTGATTCCATTAATTTCCAATGAATAAGATCCTGCTTTATAGCACATAAAACATTCTTTTTACCCATTAATTATTATTTGTGTATATCCCTTCATCCTTTTATATATATATATATAAGGGGCATGATATTCTTACACCGGGATAAAAGTTAGAAATCTTACACTCAATCTTGACCATTGATCTACTTGTATACAATGACTCACATTACTAGAAAATTTGAGCCCTTAGATATAAGTGAGATTAACGGATAAGATTAAGAGTGTAACTTACACTGGTGTAAAATGATCCTGACCCCTGACCCTATATATATATATATATATATATATATATATATATATCATAATTTGTAGTTAGTAATATAGTTTTTCATGATGAAACTGAATATATTGCAGGATCCTCTTATATCATCATCTGAGAAATTTGATGTTTCTACGACTATATTCACATTGTGAGCATATAAGATAGAAAAGACAGTCCTTGTCGTGGGTTGATTGGTTGCAAGGACTTAAATTGCGTATCTCTGGTTGCTATATTTTTTGATAACTTGGTAGTGGACAGAACAGAAATTGTACTATATTTTATTTAACTGGATCAGTATTAGTATTCAATTTCAAGCTTAGCATCAATGATTCTGGTATTGTAGAGTTCCAGGTTGTGTTTACTTTCAGTAATTGAGGTCGCTGATTGAAATGTTAAGAAGGAATATAAATTCTAATGTGTTTTTTTCTAATTTCTTAATTTAACAGAACAATGAACTCCATGTACAGCAAATACCTTTCACTAATATGAGAAGCAGTCAGAAATCACAGAAACTAGATGTTATTTGCTCCAAAATAAAATTAATAGCTCACTTGTACCATTCCATCAATGAATTGGTTGATAGAGAAATATGTACCACCCCGTTCTAGAACCGATTTGTTAACATTGCATATGATATTAAGCACAATTACAGTCATAGTAATTCAATTAATTACGAATAAATTTTTCACTTTCTATTTGCATATAATTACTCATAAAACTCTTTCTGTATCGAATTAATTCAAAAACGTAATTATAACTTATATATCATGCAGAAACATTAAACTCTACTTAAATCCATCATACATCATTCGTATATCATCACCAAGTGGTCCCCATAAACTGACAAGGTGTAAAACTTAAAAAATTGAAATGTTGGACAAAACGTACTTTAGCGCTCAACAGAGCACTTTAGCTCTCTCTTCAAACCAATTTTCTAAACTAGAAGCGCGCTTTAGCGCTCTTCCAGAACATAAAGATGTCAATTTCGGGTCTTGCACTAACTTAGGGATTTTTATCCCATCTTTGGGTACCTAATAAGCATGGAATGACAATCACATGCCCAACAAACATGGGTGCACTTACATCCTCTTTTACATCTCACAATAAACATATTTCTTAGGCATTAATACCATTACTTGGCTCACAATCTACTCTTACTTGGAGCACAAGTCATTTCTTTCTTTAGCATTGCATGCATACTTATACATTTCATGCTTCATTCTATCAAGTTACCTAGCCATTGTGACATAGGATTTCAATGCATATGATTATATCTCAACATACATCAATAATGTACGCCATCTCTTCATCTATCTTTTCTTAACCTATCTAAACATACATAATCTTATCTCATGAAAGTATATCATTTCCATTAACATAAGGTACATAATCCATGTCTTTCCCACATTACATAATGGAACTTAAATATTACATAAACATGATCAAGATTCTTCACACCAATATTCATCAATAGGTGATACAAAATAATCATGATCATATTCTAAGTTCTTGCATAATGCATATTCTTCTCAATATTGCATCATATTCTCAAAACATGACTATGCCTATCCATATAATCAATTATCCAACCCTAAGATCCATCATGCTCTATGTGGGTTTCTAGCCTCGTGAGGTCTCACCTCCTGCTGCTGAAGTACCTGAAATAGCATTCCCCAAATAGGGTGAGATAAAATATCAATAAACCTAGGGTTCTTGGAGTATTCCTCTAACCCATGAGTTCTCTTCCTGCATGACAGGTTAGTATATATACATGGCATGGACTACATACATATACCTAGAGGCAATAATAGTAATGATTTAACTACAATAAACACTTATATTCAAATGACCAAAGAATTAAAGAATCAAATCATCACATAAGTTTCAATTGCATCTTAGTCATTTTCACAAGTATATAACCTAGCCCCTAGTGCTTGTCCATTGGTCTTTTCCCCAATGACACAACATTGCTATATGAATGCAAACATACCATACTACTAACATTATCACTCAATCATCCATTCATTCACTATTACTTCCATAAAAGCAATAGTGCAACAACAAGATGCATGAACCTCCAAGATCCAAAGGTTTACCTTTTGATGCTTTCCTTCTTTTGCAAGCTTTCTTCTAGCTCACTATTCCACACCAATTTCTCTCTTGGTATGTCAAATTGGTAATTCCTTCCAATCACCAATACACCCTATTCAAGAGTATGAAATCAATCAATTTAGCATACATACAACACATTTAATTGCAATTATGTGAATATATATACCTATATCCACATCAACACAAGGCATCCCAACACATCATTTCATAAAGTTGGAAACTCACCTACACTTGAATAATTCAAGATTCAACTCCCCCTCCATAGCATCATCTATGGCTTGGTTCCTCAAATATTCTTCACTTGTTTCCAACCTAGAAAGACCATAAACTCATTTAATACAAGGCAACCAACATACATTCCTTGGAATGCAAGTAATCTATATCATTTTGAGGCATGGTTTTTTATATTTATGTAAGATGGCCAAAATGGTTTTCTAAACACATTTCCATCTATTAAATCCTCATCCAAACACTTTTCTCAACATTAATTAAGCCTCAATCATGCTCTGAAATACTCATTGAAGTTATGTTTCCAAATGAAAACCTAGAAATATGAACTTCCATGAAACTTGATGGAGTAGGGATTTCTTACAATGGATGTTCCTAGAATCAACCAAGGAGTGTTCTCCAACCTTCACTTCAAGCAATGCACCTCACTAAGCTTAGCGCTCAAGAAGGGGTTGCCACTTTCTTGGTGGAAAATCTCTTAACACAAAGGTTTTCTAAGGATAGTGAATTATGGGTTTTGTTCTCTTCTAGTTTCTAAGCACTTTTGCTTATTACATTAAGTGATTCCATGGAGTATTAAGAGAGTTGAGTTTTGAAGCTTCTTACAAATGGCTTTTCGATTTTCTTGGAGTGAGAATGAATATTTGCACTTTTAATTTCATTACTTAATCATTTCATAACAATTTCAACTTTCACTTAGGCCATTAAATAATGTCTCTCCATATTATTTCCAAGTTTCCGAGTATATTTGCCTAATTGCATATTTATCGAAAAACTTGCGGTAATCTCACTTTTATCCAAAAGTGACTCAATTTGTTTATTATTTAGACTTCTCATCTAAATTATCATTATCATTTGATTCCATAATTTTATGAACTTAGGCGGAGTGTATTTTATAGAACTAACCTAAAATCAGACAATTTTTGTCAAATTACTAATTTACCCCTAATCGGGATTTTAACCCAAAATTCATGATTCCCACTCCTTTAACCCGCTAAACCATGATTAAACTCTTAATCAACTTACAATTTCACAATTCATAGGTTAGCATTATTATAAAATGAAAGCATATGATTTTAATTTTGCAAGAAGATTCTATAGCATGAGAGAAAACTAAGAGCAAGACACATGATTTAGTTCGAAAATGTGAATTTTCCCTCCTTAATATTACCTATGCATAAAAAGCCACCTCAGATCAAATATGATCTAATTAAATTATATGTGCTCTAGATTAAAATTTGTTATAATCATCCTTTGAACACAAGAAAAAGAGCATTCACAAGTGGCAATATTTTAAACATCACTAAATGTGCTAAGTTAACACACATAAAAAATAAGAAACTATGTCGAATAAGGGATTTAGGAGCAGGGTAAGTATTAACCACCCTGATATGTTATCTTGGATGCTAACCATAATTTCCCCCCCACAAATATAGTGTGCAAGTGAAATTTTTCAGGCAACTATCCTTTTATATTTCCTAAATACCTCATGGTCACTCACCCTCTTCACAAATCCAATCTGTCATCTCTTTATGTTTCGTTAATAATTTTTTTTCTTTGGTTCTTTGTTTTGGGGATTTCTTGAATCTTGATTGGATAGATTGGTTTCTTTCATTTTCAGTTCTTGATCCTAATGCAATTTCATTAGGGTTTATCATATGCATTGGATTCAGATTAATTGCGCATATGATTTGAAAAATCCCTTTGTCTTCAAGCTAAATGTGATTGTGGAAGAAGAAGAAGCATCACAACTCGAAGAAGAGAAAATGTAGGTACAACTTTGTGGGTTTCATCACTCAAGATGTAAACTGCCCACAAGGTGTTTGGCTGATGTGTTCACTCTTAATGGTGGGGTCATTTGTTGGAGGAGTGTCAAGCAATTGTATGTGGCTGCATCTGAAGCTGCAAACGAAGCCACATAGTTGATGAAGTTCCTTATGGATCTTTAGGCGATACTGGGTGCTAGTCGTCCCATCACACTTTACTATAACAGTAGGGCAGTAGCACAATCCAAGGAACCGAGGTAATTCAAAAGACATAAACACATAGAGAGGAAGTACCACTTGATCTGAGACATCATTGAAAGAGGAGACACAGTGGTAACCAAGATAGTATCGGAGGAAAACCTTGTTGACCCTTTTACAAAGAATTTGCCTGAATGTATGTTCGAGAGGCATGTTACATCTATGGGTCTTAGGAGAATTCCAGACTTAATGCAGTTTTAAGAGATTGGATTTTCTTTATTAATTTTATGCTCTTTGAGCAAGACATTATCACATTGTAATTTTTTTTTTTGAAAGTTATAAATGAGGTTTTATTCATTTATTTTGCACACTATTTACAAAAATCATGGTCCAGATCAATTGTGTAGTATATGATCATATGTACAAGTTTGGTTCTCACAATTGATGAATAGATTCACAACTGTTAAATAAAGTTGAACACTTTATTTAGACTGCAATATTTTATGAAATGATTTTGTCCTAATCATTATGAAATATTGGTGTAAATTAATATTCACATTAAAAGAACCAAGGAGAGATTTTATTAAGGTTATTTTTTCTATCATAAGGTATCAAATCTCTAGATAACTATAGTTATGTGATTGCTTTTAATCCTGAGTTTATTTTAAATAGGTAATCAAATAGTTTTTATTCTTTGATTTACCAACAGGTGAGGCTCAATCTATTGACGACCAATAACTCGGTATTTTGGGAGTGAGATTATTTGATTATTGGTATTTATCAGATAAACAACATGAAATTTGTAGGATATGTCCCCTTGATATGTTTCGGTACTTGGATATTGAAGA